GTACGCGCTCTACGGTCCGTCATATATGCTAAGAGTGCTTGCTCTCCCTCTCGCGTCTCCTATACAGACGATAAGAATTGAGACTCTTATCCTATGCACTGAATAATATTCATGGGATCGAATGAGATATTGGGCGCTCATCAGCCTTATTCAGGGGAGAATGGGTAGTACATTGTTGGTAATAAGCACGAGGCGAGACAAATTAGAATATTAGGTAAATGTCTAGCCGGATATCCCCCATCAACTCGGTTGAGATGTTCCTTGTCTGCTAGATCCCTCTTTGGCGAGCAATCGATTGTCATGCCCTCGCTTACCACTTACTTTCTCCAGGATTTGGTGCCTCACCCCGCAAATCTTCTTAAAAACCGCTGGCCCCCTGCATGGAGATTCCCTCGCGCGGCGCTAGTGGATAAACACATTTCCAACACAGGATCAACAAGCGAACATTGTCATCTGGAGAAATATAATGCCTAGATGGATCTGATCATCATATAAGTTGACTAGTCGGCATCCCAGGAACTTTCCTAGACCTCGAAGAGCTGACCTTTCAAGCATTTTATCTACCACCCTCACTTATATCAGTACAAGCATGACTCAATTCACTATTGCTGTTATTTTTTATTTCCTTCTGTCCAGATCTTCAGTGGCTACGAGGTGCTCGGCAACGCTAGGAGCGCGTAGGTTTGTTCGCGAAATTGACCTCTATGCAAATTGGCCAACTTATGATCAGCTTCCACTGAACCCCTGCTTCCCTACCAAAGCTGCTTGGGGGGTCTGGGGAGAAGACGACGAATATGGGGCCCTCAATCATATCACCAATGCTACCGTGTTGGCTGCGGCATCTGAAATCAAGCAAGGAATGGCAATTCCCTTAAACTTGCAATTAGATACGCCGGACCCTCCGCCAAATCCAAACAGAAAGCCACTTCAGCATCTATTCCAACCCGGCGACGGGTATACTGACGACGTCGTGGTCATGAATACCCAGATCAGCACACAATTTGATGGACTTCGCCATTTTCCTTATTCGACCAACAACAGCGTAGAGACATATCAGTGGTATAATGACTTGATCCCAAGCTATGATGATGTTATTGGACCATCACCCACCACAGTACTGGGCTTGCAAGTGTCCGCAGAAAAGGGGATAGCTGTCCGTGGCGTTCTTCTCGACTTTGCTGGATGGATGGACTCAATGAACCAGTCTTTTGACGCGTTCTCCCCAAGATCCATCACGGCAAAAGAACTGGATTCAATCGCCTTATGGCAAGGGCTTTCAAGCGATTGGGCCAGGCCCGGCGATATGTTGATTTTGCGCACCGGTTGGCTTAGACAATATAACACGTTGAATAGATCAGAGCAGATTCTATTACCTATCGGAGATGGGTTCTCTGTGGGCATGGAGGCAAGCTCAGCATCTGCTAGGTGGCTTTGGGATAAGAAGCTTTCTTTAGTGGGAGCAGACAACCCAGCCTTTGAAAGTGTAAGTCACGCGGGAGATTATTGAGATAATTGCTAATGACTGTCATACTTAGCTGCCCTTCAATAAGACCATTGAAGGAGTTCCGCGTTCACTACACCAACTATTCATTGGTGGTTGGGGTCAAAGCATTGTTGAATTGTTAGATCTCGAGGCACTTGCGGCGAAGTGCATGGAGCAAAAGCGATGGTCATTTTTTGTCACTATCCAGACACTGGATGTTGTCTCTGGGATTGCTTCACCGCCGAACGCACTTGCAATACTGTAGCGATGGTAAAAAGCACAAATCAGTTGTTTTGAAGGCTTGGCATGAGCCACTCTCGAGAGCCTTGACCTTGCGAGTGATATGAACACAGGGACAGCCTTTCAGTTCAGATTAACATGACTATCGAATATTTCTTGTATGGAAGAAATGAAAGGCTTTTACTAATTACAATAATAGTACATAAAGAAATCTATGTGTTGTTGAAGCTGAAATCTATGTTACTTTCTGATGAAGCGTAGAACCAGGAATGCCAGGATCCTATAACCAATAATGATCCCGATCATGATGCCAATCCACTGTCCTTCAAGGCCTGTTTCAATACCAAAGGACTTCAAAACATCTGTTCCACGTATTTTTCCTTCACTGTTCAAATCTCCAGCATACATGCACTGATATTCTCCATCCGAGGTTGACGGACACGTATAAGTCCTAGCCTTGAATTCATTCACCATCATGCCTTGAAATACATACCTGCAGGACATAGAGTCAGTTGTCATAACACATAAAATGAATGCGGAAGTTGCTTACGCTTGATAGTCGATATAATGGAAGACATACTTCCAGAAAGAATTCAGGATATTCATAGGAACAAGGAAGCCGTCCACCGCCATCCACAGGCCATTGGCAAATGCTGTTACAGCAAGCGCCACGACGAATATGGGCACTATGGAGGAAACAAGCACAACTAGGGATTCGGCAGCTAGCAGGTCGAGGAAGAGCCATAAAACCCACTTCATGAACGCTGAGCCGTCGGGACGGAAGTTTGAAAGCCAGTATTCAACTACCGAAAAGATAGCCGTGATGATAAATAGGAACGGTAGCCCGATCACGAAATTTGAGATCATGAATGATAAAGGCCCCACCAATCCGTCGGCACGCTCCCTTTGGAAGGTGTGTAGATCTTCAAGAAAGGCCGGAACATAGGCGACAGCCATGAACGACATGAAAGCACCTCCGAAGAATATCGCATTTATGAAGGGTTGAATATACTCTTGAGATGTCTTCAGCCGGAGAAACACAGTTCCCATCAAGATCGCCAAGCCAAGGTACATGATGACCCGTATCTCATAAGCCACCATATCCCGATATGACTTGATCCAAGATCGATGAAGAAGAGTCAGAGGCACAACCCAATGACTAGGCTTCGGTAGCTTGAGCTTCGTCAAATCGATTTTAGAGGGAGTTGATGTTAATTTCTCGATGTCTTCGTCGAGCGTTTTGCGCTGTTGCGATGTGGCCCATGTGTCAAGGATGTGTTGTGTTCTAGCCTTGACGTCTCCGTCCTTGTCCAGGTCGATATTGATTAGATCAAGGAAGAACTCTGCTGGATTTGTCTCCGGAGGCAGCGAATACCCAATCTGGTTGAAATATCCCGGCGCGTTCTTGACTGGCCCAAAATAGCATGTTTTGCCTAGCGAGAGCAAGGCCAGTTTGTCAAATAGTTGGTAGGTTGCTGTGGAAGGCTGGTGAATGGAGGATATCATGATGAGCTAGAGAAAACAATTCATTTATCAGTAAATTTCTATCATTGCTAGAGAGGCGAATTGGCTGAACTCACGTTGTTTCTCTTTCCTATCTCCTTGATGTACTTGATGACTTCGGCACTTAACGCCGAATCAAGTCCGCTGGTTGGTTCGTCTAGGAAGAGTATCCGAGGATTGGTAACAAGCCGGCTTGCAACTCCAAGTCTCTTCTTCTGGCCACCACTCAATCCCTTCTTGATAGGGGTGCCGACAATGGTGTGTGCCTGTGACTGCAAGCCAAAGCTTGCGATTAAATCGTCCACTCGTCTAAAAGCTTCTATTCTTGTAACATTGCTGTGAAGCATTAGCCCTATTGCGACATTGGTCCTGTACAATAAGGGTCGTCTTCTTACCTTGGCAAGGCGAGCCGAGCTGCGAAAATCATTGTCTCGCGCACTGTAATGCTTCCAATCAAAGCGTCCTCTTGTTCAACATAAGCTGAGAGATCCCGTGTCAATGCTGTAGTTGCCTTTTGCCCGTTCACCATAATCTCGCCGGACGACTCTGCGCCGGCAGCTGCAGTCCTATGTGCCAACACGTTTAGAAGAGTAGTTTTGCCAGAGCCGCTAGGTCCCATGATTGCCAACATCTCGCCAGCATGAACTAGCCCTGCCGATTCCGACAGAATTGAGATACGTTTACCAGTCTTTCTGTCCTTGACCACGACTTCCATGCCGCGCCATGAGAAACTGTCCACGATATCATTGATCAAATGTGCCGTCGGCAACGGGTTAAGTTCAAGGTCTTCGCTAGTGTCCATTGTGGGAAATAGTGGTAGTAGTGTTATTCTAGTTTGCAGAGAAGAAGAGAGTGCATGTGCAGAATTAGGTAGATGCAGTTATTCAGTAGAGAACTCCATTTCATTTAAATGCCCTCTTGAGCGTTCTTATCCTGAGGCTTCCAGCAAGGGCTGGCTACCTTGAGTAGAGTAATCGGCGTCTTCTCGCAGCAATTACATTTTTCGCCGGGTTGAGTTCAGTACCCGGCTCGGCGTTCTTAGGATTCAGCCCGCGTTCTCAATGCACGATAAGTTCACAGCCACACGAGTCAGCGTCCTTGAGCTTACATAGCCCGACCGGCACCCCCGCGCGTCTCAGGTCGCCGACGGTCGCCAGCCCGCGAAATCAAAGCTGCCCTGCAAATGGCGATTACTTATCCCAGCATTGCCCAAGTCAAGACGACTAGTGGTCGAAATGAAGAGGCAGCCTGGATTTGAAGCCTGAGTCAGCCGCCGGTAGTATAATGCCCGAACACTCGTCTTGAAAGCCAGCCCTACGGGTCACGTCTCGCTTACAACGCAGCGCCTTGCATTTCTCAACCAAACATTTTCGAAGATGTGAACACCGAAGGACTCAAGACTATTGCGGGTATGTCGATCGCGTCCACCTTCTCTCGCGGCAGAATGCGCAAACGAATAATTATTACTCATCTTCATACGGGTATACTGTTGCTAACTGAAATTATCGCGCTTGAGCCAGTGTTCTCCATGGCGAGAATTGTGAATTGTGCACGCTAATCGCCGGAGAGCTAGGTAATTATTCAAAGCATTGCTTATGCACTTCGACAATTCTACGCATTTTCCCACTACAACTATGAGCACCAGAGAGCAAGCATCGAGAGATCGACGATCAGAATATGTATGTTCAGGCTTTGGGTCTCTATTCGGAGCAGTGATCCCGAGCGTGCGAGAAAGGAGTCTATTGCTTGGTATCATCTCTGCCAGACAAGGTTCCCGAGACTGTTGCCCGGTGCAGCGGCCGCGAGTCATGTCACAGAGACTATAGCTGAATGTATTTTCGGGAATATTAGATCATTTGTCACAAAGCCAAACTCTATTGCTTGTAAGACGTATCCCAGAAGGCCTCGATTTAGTTATTTTCAGCTTCTTACAGTACCTCAACATTAATGCGTTTCTCGGGGATGTCGACAGCGACTTGCCATAAGCGGTTAGGGGCTCTGTGGTCTGTACCGCAAGTCTCGCCGATCCATGTCTGTATAGATTACATGCACAGTTTAGCGACTTTGATCCTTGACAAAGAAAAACCACTCGTATGAACAGGCTGTCAGTGCCACTTTTTTTTCTTTTTCCTTTTTCTTCTTGGTTGCCGCGCTTTCTGAGGATCTCGAGGCTTTTCATGAAGAAATTTGATGTCCCTCACATTAGTCGTTAGTTTCAAGACAGGCTCCATGAACAAGATCTTTAGTATTCGCCAGTTATCCTAATTCCAACATACACCTGAGAAGGACCTAAGTAGGAGGCGTTACAATCGACAGCTCCAATAGCCTCTGCTTCACCCACGGGGAAACTAGTCATTGGACCATACAGGTATGCAAAAGCCCCGGCTGCCTGGTCACCGGTGATCTGGTTCCCCGTATCTCAAGATAACCTTAAGCCAAGCACCCCGCATTTTCCCAAGTACCCCGCCAGAAACTTTGCCTTGGAAGTAGGCCACTCCCCAGAATTTCGGGCCATCTCTCGGAAAGGTGCGTCCTCTGCCCAGCATAACTTGGGGTATTCAAATCAAAAGATCTGCACGTTCTAGGAAGGATCGTTCGGCTAATCGGGGTGCTTTCCGAGCAATATCCCGGACCTAGATAGTCTTATGTATTATAAAGGCTTGTTGAGATAGATTGTAGAAGATGGCGATGATGGGAAAAAGTCGATAGACTAAAGAAGTAGAGACCTTCCCTGGAGTCTATCCTTCCATCACCATGTTCGCGTCATCCACTTGGGCACTACGGGCGATTCTCGCACTGCTAGCTTTTTTTGACCATTCGGAAGCATTCCAAAGTCGAAGTTCTAGTAGTTGCTCACCGTCAACACAGGCAGCTCTGCAAGTACATCCTCTACCGACAGAGGTCGCAAAGTCCAATGCTTTCAGCGTGCAGGTCAGGTTGTACGACCAAATTAATGCAACATGGCAAAATGTTGAGCTTTATCAGGCCAACTTGCATGAGATCAACAGGACAACAGGCTCTGCGATGGTGCACAGCTCCTCTCTTGGCCTTTTCGATTTTGACAAGCCTGTTGAGTTGTCAATAACACCCAACCGCACTATTTTCCATGGCATTGATGCCGCCCGCGTACGACCCTTGTCGTATGGACTCAATGCGACCATAGGAGGTGACGCTATCAATATCGTTCTCTCAAAGCCAGCAAATATCGTTGTTGAGGTAAACGGAGATATTTTCAACGTTCTACACCTCTTCTTGGACGAAGTCGAGAAACATCCTGTCAGTCAAAATGATACAAACGAAAATTTGATTTACTACGGTCCGGGATTCCACTCCATCGATGGTGGTAAGGGAACCGTGAATATATCTTCCGGTCAGACCGTGTACCTGGCTCCAGGCTCAGTAGTGCAGGGCGGCTTTGTCTTCCGCAATGTCTCGGATGCCACCATTCGCGGGCGTGGTGTCATATATAAAACATCATCAGACACCATATTGGTCGAATCGTCCAAGAACATCAGAATCGACGGTCTCACGATGCTGAATCCGGGACATTATTCCATCACAGCAGCCATGGTGGAGGGACTCCATGTGAGCCGGTTCAGGTCCATTAGCGCAGTACAATGGGGAGATGGCATCGATGTATTCTGCAGCAAGGACGTGCTGTTGGAGAAATTATTCATGCGAAATTCGGATGATTGTATCGCACTTTACCAACATCGATGGGATTACTATGGCGATTCGAGCAACATCACCATCAAGGACTCATCACTATGGGCCGATGTTGCTCATCCGATTAATATAGGCACGCACGGTAATAGCATCAACCCAGAAACGATGGATGGGGTAACAGTGTCGAATGTCGACATCCTTGATCATCGGGAGCCACAGATAGACTACCAGGGCTGCATAGCGATCAGCTGCGGGGACGCAAATTTGATTCAAAATGTTCATATCGATGGCGTAAGAGTCGAAGATTTCCGCGAAGGCATGCTTCTCAACTTTAGAGTCATGTATAACTCCAAGTATAACACTGCTCCGGGACGAGGAATACACAACGTTACTCTAAAAAATCTCACATACAGCGGAACCGGAGAGAACATGGCAATAATGGCAGGTTATGATGACAGTCGAACGATCGAGTTCGTGGACTTTCAGGGTCTAGAAATCAATGGTCAGCATATTTGGGACGGAATGAGGAAGCCATCTTGGTATCAGACATCAGATATCATGCCCATGTATGTGGGTTCCTGGGTAAAGAACCTCACTTTTTCGGCTTAGCGAAGAATACCCAGGTAACGATCTAAGCCTTAGATAGTATTCAGAGTTACAATAGATCACGATCGGAGCATTGAATCTAAATGTCCCCAACTGTATGAGCAAGGTCAAGTAAAAGAGTTTGCAAATGAGATAATTGCCTTCATTCCTATGTAGAAAGTGAGTGCTGACTATCTCGGCGTCTATTTGGGCTTCTCCGATGTAGGTGCTTTAGGTGAATTGTTTCTCTGCCCAAGTTTCCCAGTATTCACAGAATCCCTGCGCCTTCGCTGCCAGGCAGCTTTTGACCATCTTTGTATCCAGTTCAATCAACATTGAATTGCTCATCAACAGTCTAATGATTTAAGAGTCCCTTCAATATACTACAATTACGTTAATTCCCAATGGTCGGGTTCTTCACAGCACAATAACAAAGAGGCTGAGAAATACTCCATGCTTCGAAATTTGCCGACCTGTTCACTCTTGAATTAGTTTATCTATTGAAACAGGGCAGCAGTG